AATGCGGCCCAGACCACCTCCTGAAGTGGTTTGAGCGATCGGATTTATATCCGTCTCGAATGCGTTTCGGAGGGCATTTACACCTGGTCTTTTCACGATCGGATAGCTATCCGATCAGAAAAAAACGCATGAAGTGACCAGGTGTAAACAGGCCCATGTTACACAACATGCGTTCTCTTTCTCAACTAAACAGTTATAACTGTGTTTAACTGGATACTCGCCAAGACGGGCATTTTGACATAATTTTGTATGTTTTTGAACTTTTTAGCACAGTTAGCCACTCATTTTGGTATTTGTGGCTCACAAGCTGTTTGAGACTGAATGCGGCTTGTGTGCGCTCCACCAATATTGATCAGTTCTGGTGCGCGCGCTTTTGGTGTAAGCGCGAGACCTGCAGGAATGACTCAAATAATGCGCAATACAAGCATTTAACCGGAGCGAATGAGACGTGTGTGAGAGAGAAGGGGTCGTCGGAGAGAAGAGAGCGAGAATGCGTGGCTGATGTTATTGCCTGTGCCGCTGGTAACAAAACGGATCAGCTCGGAATCGGAAAGAAGTGAGACTGACCGACCGATCACCGATCTGGGCCGATCATGAGGAAAATCGGATTCCGATCCCTGGCCAATCGATCGGTGCATCTCTACTTTTACATTTTGATTACTTTATTCAATTTCTGTATTATCTCTTGCTTGAACGCTACTGTTAAATAGATCTACTTTACCTATGAAAACTTCATTTTCATGTGTCTGTTTTATTGTATCTGCCTATTTGTTTGTGGCTTGCATCTATGTTCTTATTATTAATAACAAAGATAAAATAACAAAAATGACTATATCATGATATAAATTGTTATCGTGAAATCAAATTACTCACATCATGGAAATAAGATTTTGGTCATATCTCCCATTCCTAGTGCATGCCCTCAAATGTAAGTCAAAAGATTTATTTTGTGACATGAACGGGGCAACTGAGGTCAATATTAACTGTCTAATTTGGCTTTATCCTTTCAGCTAACTTACCAATGTTGCAAAGATCTATATTTACCTGTAGGCTTGGTAGTTGCTCACCATAGTCCTGTTTAGTGGCACTGGCATGTGATTTTTATAAATCACAATAATAAATTGTTATTTTTGTTTTCTTTGTGCACAAAAAGTATACTCATAGCTTCGCAAAATTTAAGTTGAGCCACTGAAGTCACAAGGACTGTTTTATCAATGTCCTTACTACGTTTCAGGACCTGGTAACATTTCAGTTGTATTGCTGTCTATGGGAGGGTCAGAGAGCTCTCAGATTTCACCAAAAATATCTTAATTTGTGTTCCGAAGATGAACGAAGGTCTTACTGGTTTGGAACGACATGAGGGTGAGTAATTAATGACAGAATTTTCATTTTTGGGTGAGCTAACCCTTTAACATTACCATGTTTGTGTAAAAAACAGCTTCACGAATAGTCTTTTCAACTATACAGTATTATTTCTCTTACAGGCATTCATATTATCACAGAAATACTGGGATGGAAGTTTATAGTTCGATACATAAACATTGATGTCTATGGTTGCGATCAAAATAGAGCAAATCCCCTTTTGAAAGTAACTGGCACTTCAAATAACGTTTGTGTCGACTGCATTGTTAAAAAATGTATTTGTCATTGAATCATACAAGAGATTCGTTCAAATACGCTGATTCATCCAGTAATGAAACAAGTGAACTATTTATGCGCGAGTCATTGAATCATTCATTCAAACCACTTTTTCACAATTTTAATTTTAAAATTGGTATATTAAGTAATTTATTTTAAATACATGTATATTAAAATGTTTAATAATTCATTCAAATTACTTAAAGACTTTTAAACAGACTGCAGCAATTAATATTTTGTCACACATTATTTTGCTTAAGTTCAGAATTGTGGGAGAATCATGCTCTCTATGTGAGACAAAAAAAAAATCGTGATTCTCAATTTATCCAGAATCGTGCAGCTCTACTGAAGAGGAGTATAATAAAAATAAAAATAAAATATTTGCCTTGTTAGATATTGAAAGGAGAAGTTTACAACCATTTCTTCTAACTACATTAACAATGCACACCATTTTGTAAATAATGGTTTCAAATAAAGAAATGTTACAATTATAATAATTGAATATTAAATGAAAAAAGATTTAAATACGTTTTTCAACTGATGAATCAATGAAACGGTCATCAGATCAATGGATGAGGAAACAATCTGGTCCTGGTGTCGGCGTGGCTCACCTTGTCTCTGAAGAGCGCAGCGGCTTTGCTGTTGTATTTCTCCTGCAGGCTCCAGTTGAGGTCATAGTCGTCCTGCAGCTCCAGGAACATACGGAACTTCCTGTTTCCTCCCACCTTCATCTTCTCCAGCTCCAAGTCCTTCCACTTGTCCATCGAAACAGACCGTACAAAGCTATGAAGAGAAAACTCACAAATGAATGAATCACACTTGAGATTTTCAGATATACTTCAGATGCATCTAAATCAAGCGCTGCAGTGAGACCAACGGAGTCTGACCTGAGGTGGACGCCGAGGCCTCTGTGTTTGCCCGAACACTCCAGACAGATCCAGATGCCATACGTCACGCTCACCCACTGTGGGTTAAAGGCGCCGCACTCGAAACACACCTGACACACAAACACGCATGCTTTAAACACACCGCAGGAGAGAGAGAGGATGAGGAGCTGATGAAGACACTCACGTTGTTCTCGTCTTCAGTCCGGACCTCCTTCAGCACACGTCTGGTTCTGGGACTCGCCATCTGCCCTGAAACACACGGTGGACAACAGCACACGCTTTTATTCAATTAACAGATAACAACTGATTTATTTCTAGCATATGAAGCTAAGATTAAGATCATCATGCCTTCAACATGTATTTTTCAAATATGTTCTATGCAATGATCTTGAGACTTTTACATATTGTGAAAAAGAAAATTATACAGAATTTATGAAAATAATTTTACTTAGTTAAATTTAAATATTTAAGTGAAAATGTGAACTGAAAATGTGTACAATTTATTGATTTACTCCTGGAGCCATATTGAAATTCCATTATCTCTGGAACTGAACCATATAGGGCCTTAAAAATGAAGATGCCAAAAAAAGAAGTTTGTTACGACCCAATATCTAATGGGCATTAAGATATCTTTAATACTTTTTGAGTTACAGGCCTGCAAACTTTGGAGAAAAAACTTGAAAGCCTAGAAAATCCTCATCCTCGGACTCATCAGTAAAAATTTTCAAGGCTCCCTCCATTTCCTTACGATCCAACTCTGCAGCAGAGGGGAAGGCAGGCTTCAAATTGCACACATGGACTGTACGCAAGTCTTCTCCATTGTCCTCACGTACAACACGATAATTTACTGGACCTAATTTTTCTACAATTCTATAAGGCCCAATCCATTTTGCTGCAAATTTAGCTGCAAATTGTTTAGAGGCCTTAGAAAGGGGATGTGCTTTCATCCAAACCCTATCATTTCTGGAGTAATTCACATTCCTACGACCTGCATCATAAAAACGTTTTTTGTTTCTCCTTAGCACGGGACAAGTTCTTTTTTACCATCTCCTGCAAATCTTTAAGAACCCTGAGTCTGGTCTGGTGTGGCTCTAGAGCACGTTCAAAAGGTCCTCTCAACCTTCTTTGCAAGAGTAATTCTGCTGGGGAGTATCCAGTACTCTCCTGAACAGCAGAATTGATAGCATACCTCAACTCTGGCAAATAATGATCCCAATGATTATGCTCACCAAACACATACAAAGATATCATCACCTTAACCGTCTGATTCACACGTTCAGTGAAGTTGGTTTGGGGGTGGTATGCTGTTGTCAATTTTTGCACCACTCCCCACCTGCTACACAGCTCCTGCAAAATTTCAGAGGTAAATTGGGGACCTCTATCCGACAACAAGAATTTCGGAACACCCCTCCGTGTCAATATTTCCTTCCTTAGTGTCTGTGCAATTGTCACAGCAGTAGCTTTTCGAAGTGTAAACAACTCCACCCAATGGCTATAATAATCTACTACAACCAATAGCTGGGTGTTACCTAGGGGGGGTGGCGCTGTTGAGCTTTCCTTTGCGGTATTCAAGAGTAAATTCAAACTCTTGCAATTTCAAAGCCCAACTAATCAGGCGAGAGTTTGCCTTGGTAGTGTTAAACACCCAAAGGAGAGATGCATGATCAGTCACAACAATAAAAGACTTGCCCTCCAGATAATGCCGCCACCTTTCGACCGCCCAAACAACGGCCAAACACTCCCTCTCGGTGGTAGAATAATTTCTTTCTGCACCAGTAAGTGTACGGCTTGCATATGCTAGTACTTCTTCAGTCGTACCAAATGTAAATGGTCGCTGGGCAAGAACAGCCCCCAAACCTGTTGAACTAGCATCTGTATAAACTATAAATGTGCAAGTATGATTAGGGTGTCCCAGTATAGGTGGAGAAGAAAGGTGCATTTTCAAATTCTCAAAGGCAGCCTGACATTCAGCTGTCCACTGGAAACGAGCTCCTTTTCGTTTCAAGGCATTTAAGGGTTCGGCGATAGCTGAAAAATTAGGAACATACCTATGATACCATCCACTCATCCCCAAGAACCGCTGAAGTTCTTTTAGATTTTTTGGCACAGGGAAATCCTGGATGGCCTCGGTTTTAGCAGGATCTGCCTTCACCCCTTCGGTGGTCACCACATGGCCAAGAAACTTAATTTCTGTTAAACAGAAATGACATTTCTGAAGTTTAAGGGTTAGTCCTGCCTTTTGCAAACACCTCAAAACCCTTTGGAGATCTTGTATATGCTGACTGAAATTTGATGAATAAATGACTATGTCATCTAGATAAACCAAACAACACTGTCCTAAACAGTCAGCCAACACCCTATTCATAAGCCTTTGAAATGTGGCTGGAGCATTCTTTAAACCAAAAGGTAACACCTTAAATTCATACAACCCAAAAGGGGACACAAAAGCAGTCTTAGCCATACTGTCTGGGTCCATTGCCACTTGCCAGTACCCGCTGTTAAGATCAAGGGTACTAAACACACTGGCTCCAGCAAGAGACTCCAGGATTTCACCCACAGTAGGAAGAGGGAATGCATCACTTTCACTCACCGCATTTAATCGTCGAAAATCAACACAAAAACGCTGGCCTCCATCTTTTTTAGGAACTAGTACAATAGGAGATGCCCAAGGAGAATAAGATGGCTGAATGATGTCTCGTGTAAGCATATCGTCGATTTGTTCCCTAAATATTTCCTTTTTATGTACTGGTAACCTATAGGGCTTTTGCGCAACAGCCACATCTGTACGGACATCGATCTTATGCTGAACCAGATGAGTTCTACCAAGAGTAGGAGTACATGCTTCAGGATGATCATACAAAAGAGTAAAAATAACATGAGACTCTTTGTCTGATAAATTACTCTCATTGACTTTGCTTTGCACTAACTCCACAAGTTCTACACTAGTTTCTTCCTGCACATAATTCTCCATACACTCACTCACTGACCACTCAATCTGGACAGGAGGGACAGAGGAATAAAGAGAAGTAGTAGGCTTACAATCCACAGGTGGTGTACACGACCTCCAAGAATCCCCGGAGGTAATTGGTGGCTGAAAGGGGAAAACACGATTTTTCAGGTCCCCTGAAAAACTGTACAACTGATCTTTTTATATTAAGCTGCAAACCAGTCAACCCTATGAAATCTAACCCCAGCACCATTGAATAAACAAGGTTCTGAGCTGGAAGGACTACTGTAGGAACCTGAAAATGCAAATCATGCAAATAAAAATCAAGTATTTTCTGTCCACGAGGAACAGTAGCATAGTTCCCGCATTCAACATTTACATTTCACTCATTTCCAAATAATTTGGCATTGCAATACAAAGTACTAGCTAATCCGGGACATAATTTCATCAATATTAAAACCCTAGAAAATCCTCATCCTCGGACTCATCAGTAAAAATTTTCAAGGCTCCCTCCATTTCCTTACGATCCAACTCTGCAGCAGAGGGGAAGGCAGGCTTCAAATTGCACACATGGACTGTACGCAAGTCTTCTCCATTGTCCTCACGTACAACACGATAATTTACTGGACCTAATTTTTCTACAATTCTATAAGGCCCAATCCATTTTGCTGCAAATTTAGCTGCAAATTGTTTAGAGGCCTTAGAAAGGGGATGTGCTTTCATCCAAACCCTATCATTTCTGGAGTAATTCACATTCCTACGACCTGCATCATAAAAACGTTTTTGTTTCTACTTAGCTCGAGACAAGTTAATTTTTACCATCTCCTGCAAATCTTTAAGAACTCTGAGACTGGTCTGGTGTGGCTCTAGAGCACGTTCAAAAGGTCCTTTCCACCTTCTTTGCAAGAGTAATTCTGCTGGGGAGTATCCAGTACTCTCCTGAACAGCAGAATTGATGGCATACCTCAACTCTGGCAAATAATGATCCCAATGATTATGCTCACCAAACACGTAAGATGATATCATCACCTTAACCGTCTGATTCACACGTTCGGTGAAGTTGGTTTGGGGGTGGTAAGCTGTTGTCAATTTTTGCACCACTCCCCACCTGCTACATAGCTCCTGCAAAATTTCAGAAGTAAATTGGGGACCTCTGTCCGACAACAAAAATTTCGGAACACCCCACCGTGTCAATATTTCCTTCCTTAGTGTCTGTGCAATTGTCACAGCAGTAGCTTTTCGAAGCGGAAACAACTCCACCCAATGGCTATAATAATCTACTACAACCAATAGCTGGGTGTTACCTAGGGGGGGTGGCGCTGTTGAGCTTTCCTTTGCGGTATTCAAGAGTAAATTCAAACTCTTGCAATTTCAAAGCCCAACTAATCAGGCGAGAGTTTGCCTTGGTAGTGTTAAACACCCAAAGGAGAGATGCATGATCAGTCACAACAATAAAAGACTTGCCCTCCAGATAATGCCGCCACCTTTCGACCGCCCAAACAACGGCCAAACACTCCCTCTCGGTGGTAGAATAATTTCTTTCTGCACCAGTAAGTGTACGGCTTGCATATGCTAGTACTTCTTCAGTCGTACCAAATGTAAATGGTCGCTGGGCAAGAACAGCCCCCAAACCTGTTGAACTAGCATCTGTATAAACTATAAATGTGCAAGTATGATTAGGGTGTCCCAGTATAGGTGGAGAAGAAAGGTGCATTTTCAAATTCTCAAAGGCAGCCTGACATTCAGCTGTCCACTGGAAACGAGCTCCTTTTCGTTTCAAGGCATTTAAGGGTTCGGCGATAGCTGAAAAATTAGGAACATACCTATGATACCATCCACTCATCCCCAAGAACCGCTGAAGTTCTTTTAGATTTTTTGGCACAGGGAAATCCTGGATGGCCTCGGTTTTAGCAGGATCTGCCTTCACCCCTTCGGTGGTCACCACATGGCCAAGAAACTTAATTTCTGTTAAACAGAAATGACATTTCTGAAGTTTAAGGGTTAGTCCTGCCTTTTGCAAACACCTCAAAACCCTTTGGAGATCTTGTATATGCTGACTGAAATTTGATGAATAAATGACTATGTCATCTAGATAAACCAAACAACACTGTCCTAAACAGTCAGCCAACACCCTATTCATAAGCCTTTGAAATGTGGCTGGAGCATTCTTTAAACCAAAAGGTAACACCTTAAATTCATACAACCCAAAAGGGGACACAAAAGCAGTCTTAGCCATACTGTCTGGGTCCATTGCCACTTGCCAGTACCCGCTGTTAAGATCAAGGGTACTAAACACACT